TACGGTCCTCTCTGCTCTTCTGCTCTCCCAGACCCCACATCCCTCTGCCCCCTCAGCCCACAATGCTTGGTATGGTCCTCTCTGCTCTCCCAGACCCCACATCCCTCTGCCCCCTCAGCCCACGACGCTTGGTACGGTCCTCTCTGCTCTCCCAGACCCCACATCCCTCTGCCCCCTCAGCCCACAATGCTTGGTATGGTCCTCTCTGCTCTCCCAGACCCCACATCCCTCTGCCCCCTCAGCCCACGACGCTTGGTACGGTCCTCTCTGCTCTTCTGCTCTCCTAGACCCCATATGGCCCCACATCCCTCTATCCCCCCCACCCCAGCCCGCAGCCAGTGGGCAAAGGTACAAACTCCCCAGCTGGGGGCCAGACCTAGTCCATGCTACTGGCAGGGCAGCAGGAGTCTGACATGGGGGAGCCGCCTGTCCCCGTGATCCGCCCCATTGGGGCGAGACGGACGTACCTCACCCTTCACCAGCCGGGCCAGGGAGCTGGGCACTTGCTGGCCCTTTGCCAGGAGATGGCAGAGGCTTTTACTGCTGTGGCCGCAGGAGTACAAGACCTGGGGGCAGCAGGAGAGCAGAGGTCAGCGCGGGGGACGTGCCGGGAGCCAGCCAGGGGCAAAGAGAGGCAGCCGGGGAAGGGGAGGGGTGTCCTTCCCCGGGGCCATCCTGGGCTCAGTTTCATGGTGGCCAGTCCCAGTTTTACCCCCGATCCTGGCCCTGGCTGTTGGTGACTCTCCAGGGCACTCGCTCCAGGGGGAACCCACGCACCCACTTGCCCTTCCAACACGGCTCGGGGGAGTCTCCTGGGAGGGGTGGGGATTCAGCTTCTCTGGCCTGGCCAGTCCCTGGCCTCTGCAGAGGGGACCAATGTGAGGCTCCAGAGACACTGGACCCCTGACTGGGGCCATGGCTCATTCCATGAGGTCCAACGAGCAGGGAGAGGGGAGCAGAGCAGGGTGGCACTGTCATGCCCCATGGGTTTCATTCCATGCCCCTGGGGCACAGGCAGAAGGCAGGGTGGTGGAGACCTGCCACCTTGTGAGGGCAGCAGGCCTGTTAACACCTGGCACCACCAGTGCCGTGCTAGGAGAGCGCCCATCAGCCCTGGCTAAAGCAGGCGCAGGGGGAGTTGTGCCCGGTTATGTCAGAGTTGGCTTCTATCTGCAGGGGAGAACACAGCTGGGTGCCACTCCCACCCACAGCCCCGCCCCTTGGCCCCATGGGAACTGTCCAGGGGCCGATGGAGGCAGGGAGGGTGAGTCCAGAGAGAGCCCCACTCAGAGGGAGACTTTACCTTGAGTGCGTGCAGGGAGCAGGCTGGGCGCTCGAGTCCAGCCAGGAGCCTTGCTAATAGCTGGCTGTTCTCCACGGTCAGCTCCTCTGCCACTTGCTGGGCGACCTGCGGGAAATCAGCCAAGAGGGTCACAATTGCAGAGCCCCCCACGCGACCACAATGGTAGGGGGTGCTGTGCTGCAGGGGTGGGGCCAGTAGGGGGGCGCTCTCCCCAGCAGGCGGCGATGATCCCAGGATGGCACTAGGGGGCGCTGTGCTGCAGAGGTGGGTGGGGCCAGTAGGGGGCGCTCTCCCCAGCAGACGGCGATGATCCCAGGATGGCACTAGGGGGCGCTGTGCTGCAGAGGTGGGTGGGGCCAGTAGGGGGCGCTCTCCCCAGCAGACGGCGATGATCCCAGGATGGCACTAGGGGGCGCTGTGCTGCAGGGGTGGGTGGGGCCAGTAGGGGGCGCTCTCCCCAGCAGACGGCGATGATCCCAGGATGGCACTAGGGGGCGCTGTGCTGCAGGGGTGGGTGGGGCCAGTAGGGGGCGCTCTCCCCAGCAGACGGCGATGATCCCAGGATGGCACTAGGGGGCGCTGTGCTGCAGGGGTGGGTGGGGCCAGTAGGGGGCGCTCTCCCCAGCAGACGGCGATGATCCCAGGATGGCACTAGGGGGCGCTGTGCTGCAGGGGTGGGTGGGGCCAGTAGGGGGCGCTCTCCCCAGCAGACGGCGATGATCCCAGGATGGCACTAGGGGGCGCTGTGCTGCAGGGGTGGGTGGGGCCAGTAGGGGGCGCTCTCCCCAGCAGACGGCGATGATCCCAGGATGGCACTAGGGGGCGCTGTGCTGCAGGGGTGGGTGGGGCCAGTAGGGGGCGCTCTCCCCAGCAGACGGCGATGATCCCAGGATGGCACTAGGGGGCGCTGTGCTGCAGGGGTGGGTGGGGCCAGTAGGGGGCGCTCTCCCCAGCAGACGGCGCGGCCCCGTGCTGCTCCTGGGACGATCTCGCCTCCCTCGCTGGGCCCAGGCATGGACAAAAGAGCAAAGCCACAAATTACGAACAAAGCTCAGGGCTGGGGTGAGAGATCCAGATGGACAGTTAGTGCAGAGGGGCTGTGGGTCGGGAGTGGGGGGCACCAGCAGTGTGGGGCTGCGGATCGGGAGTGAGGGGCACTGGCACAGCTGTATGGAGAGGGGAGCCGAGGGCTGGGCTGGCAGGGGCTGTGGGTAGGAAGTGAGGGGCACTGGC